GGATCTGAAGGCCTTAGGAATGGACCTCAACAGATGGGAAACCTTGACGTCTGAGCGTTCAGCCTGGAGGCAGGCGGTGCACCATGGCCTCTCCCAATTTGTAGAGACCTTGTACAGCAGGCCGAGGCAATGAGGCAGTCCCGAAACGAGCAAAATCAGGAAGCTGATTTTGGGCAGGAGACAGATTGTATTTGTCTTCAGTGTGGAAGGGATGGTCCCTCTCGAATCGGCCTTCTCAGCCACACTAGACGCTGTTCCAAGTCCTCCATACAGAGCACTTTACCACAGTTTCTCGAGACTGAAGGATGCCTAATCTGATCAAGGGTTCTTGTGGCTGGGTAGAGATTGTTGACCTTTCTGCAGGCGGTGTTTTTCAGTGCTGGGAGCCAGGCTTTGCTGAATGTTAGACTTTCTTCTTTTTTGTGGAAGCTGTGCTGATGTTTCTGGATTTCAATGGCTCCCCTGTATAGTCTAACATAATGTCTGCCTCCCAGCACTGAAAAATACAGCCTGCAAAAAGGTCGACGAAGTCTCATTTTCACTAAGAGTCTTGTCTGAATCACTTCTCCGTAAAGAGAATGTGTCTCGGGTGAGGAGTCTCCGTAGGCACAAGCAACCACCACTTTCTGTGCCTGATGTAGGTCCTTCAACCTCAGAAGTGCGTAGCCCTTGCCCGATGGACAACCCCGACCTGTAATAGAACTCTTGCCTGTTTACAAGGCAATCAACCTTAGACAGCACAACAAACGGGCTAGGTAGGACCTCTTAGTTACACAGTAGTAGCAATTAGTGACCTGGATTTAGGTACAATCTTTACTATAGGCTTAAGGCAGGTTTCGCACTGTAACTTCTGATTCCAAATGCAGGAGGCTGACATAGAGCACAAGAAAGCAGGCTGATCAGAAGGCCTCCAAGCCGAAAGGCAGCCAGACTGAAGCCAGCCTGTCCATTAAGCTTGGTCCTCCTGTTCCCTGAGCAGCGGTGACTCTGCAACGTCCCCCCCTCTGAGATCGGCTCTTAGGAATCTTTACAGTTGGGGAAACTGGGACTTTCTGCATGGAAATCACATGATCCTGCCTGGCCATATGGCTGCTCTCCAACAAGTTCTTTTTACAACTGCCCCTATGTGTTAACACCTTCAAGACAGCTTCCGACTTTAACACCAACATAGTAAAATCACAACCGGGTGGAACGAAACCTAAGCAAAGTAACACTGAGAATACCAAAGACAGACTAGTAAAACGGAGCAGAGGGCAAAGCAAACCCTTGCCTAAACGGGGAAAGGAACACAACCGAAGGAGGAGAAAGACAAACCCTAGAAGAGAAGGAACACACACCAGCAGATCCATCTGTACCTCAGAAGGTACAGATCAAAGCATGCCACTTATATTCTTCTATAGACAATTGGATGATTACGTCAAGAGGAGTGACTCTCTGCGGACATATTAGAAGTCTTTTCTATTGGTCCAAGAGCAATTTGAACGCAAAGAAAAAAAAGAATCACATCAGTGGTTGAATTATAAGATACTGTAGACCAATTTGCAATTTTTCACAGGTTCTGTGTGTAGATAGAGCAATTTTTCACAGGTTCTGTGTGTAGATATATAATCATGCTCAGGTATGTGGGATACAAGGGAGCAGCTCTCAGAAATTTAACTGTGGAATGAATCTTCAATTCTTTTTTACCAGAACCTCTCCAGGGAAGACACTTGTTGTGTCCAGTGTGCAAAGATGGCTCTGGTTTCTGTGGAACTTCTTGCCACAGGATGTGGTGATGGCAGCTGGCCTAGATGCCTTTAAAAGGGGATTGGACAGATTCCTGGAGAAAAAGGCCATCGCAGATTAAAAGCCATGATAGGGATGCGTAATCTACGGGCTTAAAAGGAAGATACCTCCAAATGCCAGATGCAGGGGAGGGGGATCAGGAGACAGGTCTCTCGTGGTCTCATGTGCTCCTAGAGGCATCTGGTGGGGCCACGGTGAGATATAGGACGCTGGACTAGAAAGGCCCTTATGTTGTTGTTTAGTCGTTAAGTCGTGGGGCCCTTATGTTGTTGTTTAGTCGTGTCCGACTCTTCGTGACCCCATGGACCAGAGCAGGCCAGGCCCTCCTGCCTTCCACTGCCTCCCGGAGTTGGGTCAAATTCACGTTGGTCGCTTCGGGGACACTGCCCAACCACCTCATCCTCTGTCGTCCCCTTCTCCTCTTGCCTTCACACTTTCCCAACATCAGGGTCTTTTCCAGGGATATGTTGTTTCTGTTCATGGGGTTTTCTTGGAAAAGAAGATGGCTTGCCAGTTCCTGCTCCAGGTGGATCGCGTTTAGAGGACCTGTCCATCTTGGGTGTTCCTGCATGGCATAGCCTATAGCTTCTCTGAATTACTCAAGCCCCTTCACCACAACAAGGCAGCAATCCATGAAGGGGTATGTTCTTATGCTTGCGTTTAAAAGTTTTAAGAGTCCCACCCACCCATGGCATCTCCAAGGAGGAATGGGGAAGACTTGTGCATGAAACCCTGAGGGGCCACTGCACGTCAGCAGAGGTAACCCTGAACACAACGGACCAATTCCAGAGAAGGCATTCTACACCACAGCTATAATGTTATGACTCTCTTTACTTACGTGTGTATCTTCTGACAGCAACTGGCCTTTGGACTTCTCCTCCACTCCACTGTCATGGCTGTCATCCTCTGTCCCTTCATCATCCTCTTTGTCCTCCTCCTCGTCTGTGAGGCTGTCACTCCCAGAATCCTCCAGACCAGAGAAGATGCTTTCTTCGCTGTCCGTCAGATCATCATCACATTCCCTTTCGAGGGCAGGAGTGCTGTGGAAGGGCTGAAGAAAGGGAAAAGCATGTTTCAGAAGGCGGGACTATCAAGAGGACACAAGAGAGCATCAGGCCTCCCCTCAAAAACGGTGCAGCCCAAGTGGCTCAGGGCAAGCAGGAGCAGGATCAAACTTCAGTTATGGAAAGCTGGTGCCGTCCTCCTTCCATCCCTCCTCTCAGAAACCATTCGGAGAGCCACCACATCCCGCCACTTGGACCCGTCTCCATCCAAGCCATCCAAGGACAGACTAAGCCCCTGGGCTATTTCTCCACACCCACACACCCGCCTGTCGCGCTGCCACCCTGTTGTACCCAACACATCGCACGCACTTTGTGCCCTGTTTGCTTTCTCCAAGGAGGGAGAACATGTTCATGTACCCCACTCTCACCTGGCAATTCGTTCGCCTTTCCAAAAGTTTGTACCCTGCAAGTGACCTAACGGGGCCTAAGACAGTGTTGGGGGGGGGGATCTCCAAGCTTGGGCCTCCAGACCTTCTTGGACTTCCACTCCCAGAAATCCTTGCCTCCAGCAGAGGTGGTGGTGGCGGCGGCGAAGGCTTCTGGGAGCTGCAGTCCAAACCCGGGAGGAAAGAGAGGCCCCGTGACGCCAAACCCCGCGCCCTTTGGGGCTGCGAGCCCGGCGGGGTGTGGGTGGGGGTCAGGGGGCAGCGTCCTTCCTCTCGAGGGGTGGGGTGGGCGCTCGCTGGGCCCAAGAGCCCAGAGGGAGGGAGGGAAGCACGAGGCTGAGCCCCGGCGGCCAGGGGAGTATGGGCTCTGTAGTCCCCTCAAAGCAACTCCCCC